ATTCCGACGGATTGAACCCACTGGCAATCGAAATTTTGATCGGCAAGTGATCACTACCGTGGGGATCTTGGATCACATTCCACGTGCAATCCAACGATAATGAGTTAGAGCAAAGTGTGAGGTCTAATTTACTTCCATTTGAGGATGGACCAACCAAACGTGTTACTTCTCCATTGTTAAGAATTGTCATATTGAAGTTGTCACAGAGGTCATATATCATAGTAGAACGGTTGTCATCATATAGTTCCCCTGAGCCTGTACCGTGGGAATTGAAATCTCCCATGATCAACCGTGGAGCAGGAAGTACCGAACATATATCTGAAAGTTGTTTTCGATTAACAACGGCTCTAGGAGGAATATAAACAGCAACAATACAAAGGCTCTTACCTTTAAAAATAGCCTGACATGCGATAACTTCAATACCTGGAAATTGTGGAAGATTCACTCTATAGAAGGAATGGCACTTTTTGATCCCCAAAAGTACCCCTCCTCCAAGCGAATCCTCACGATCCAGTCGAATAATGTTAAAATCATAAAAAGGAAGATCTATATCTGAAGAGAGCCAAGTTTCACAAAGAGCAAATGCATCACAATCATTATTGTGAACTAAAAACTTATATGAGTCTAATTTAGGAATAAGACTTCGACAATTCCACTGTAGAACAGTGATCAAATCCCCAACCTCGTTTGGAAAATTATCCATCGAAGGAAATGATTGCTGCAAGGAGGGGCCACTTCAATGTCAACTGCTTCAAGAGAATCTTCACAGAAGGAAGCATTGCCAGAACAATGCTTTTGAGAGGATCAGAAATATTGAGGTACTTGAGGATATCGTCGACAATTTTATCAAATGAGAACAACCCAGATGAAGAAGGGGCTTCTGTTCTTAAAAATGGGACATCAGGGGCGTTGGATGTCCCCGGAAGAGGTGGAAAATCCTGGGTATAGTCAGTTCTGCGGAACCCAGGAGAAGTAGAAATCTCTTTTTTTCCACCACTCCTTGATTTGGGCAAGCTGATTTGGGGTTCTTCATTGTCAACTTTCCGCGAACGGATGCGTTTTCGTTTCCGTGCAGAAAAACGGAAAGAAGTTCCCTCCTCAGACAAGTCAGAGTCAGTCTCGTCATCTGACAAAAGAGAGAATGGATTTTTGTCGTTGGTCGATGGCGTGGCCGTCTTTAGCATTTCCGCAAAAGACTGCCGGGAACGTTCCTTGAGTGAGCGTTGTAATTTCTCACCGCGTTGTGTGTACACCGGGCATGACGAGAGACCATGAGGAGTTCCCTTACAGTACACGCATTTTGGTGCAGTGACTGTGCAGGCGCCATCCTCGTGCTTCTCCCCGCATTTGGAACAGCGTGCCTTGCTGCCACAGTGGGACGCCGTATGTCCCAACTGCTTACAGTTTTGGCAGTTCATGACCCGAGGAACGAACAAGCGCACAGGTAGTCGAAGTTTTCCCAGCTCAATGTAGTGAGGAAGGGCTGAACCAGAAAAGGTCACACGGAACGAGTCTGTGGGGGTAAAACTCTTTTTACCCTCGCTGACAGATACTGAGCCCAGTTTTTGGACATCCAGTATCTTCACCGGGGGAAGCAAACGGTTCTTGAAACGGCCAACCGCCTGCTTCTCCAAGATCTCGGGGGTCAGACTCGCTTCGGTGACCACACCTTCGATCTCCACATCACGAGCTGGGATGTAAACTCTATACTCGAGCGTAAAGAGCTGGGAGACAGCAATCTCATTAGCTTTCTTCAGGTTAGAGACGGACACACGAAGTTTATAGTGCCTATCCTTCGTGATTTCGGTCACGGCCGAGAATCGCTTCGTCAAATCATTTGAGATTTGCACAACGTTCAAAGGTTTGTTTTTGGGCTGAAAGTAGACAACCCATGGGCGAGTCATCTGGATAGGCTCGCGATCGGGGGTTTTTCTGAGCCTGACCTTTGCCAGACTGAGACGACGAACCAGGGAGGTCATCATCTGTCTTCTGAGAAGACGTACATTTTCGAGCCTTCTTGCCATCGCGTGGCAAAGAAGTGTCATCTTCCGACAAAACGTCCATTTCGTCTTGCGACAAAATGTCCATTCTGCCGTAATAGTGGGAGCGAAAAACGCTCTACCACTGAAACGATAATCACTCTGACACAATACACAAAAAAAACTACAAACACAGAACACAAACTTAAAATTTAACTGATGGGCGAAAGAGAGAAACAAGAATAAAAACTTATCTGATAATCCTATACTACTACCACCGAGCGTTTAAACAGCAGCAGCGGAGCGACGTGCAGCGTGGATGATCTTCGATCCGCGTGTGCGGGCGGTCTTCGTTGGTGTGTGCTTATGTGAGGGTCGGCACTCAGCTGAACACACGATGATAGATGAGCGGTCTAAATGCGGAGGCAGATGCTGACACTCGATGACGATGATCCGTGTGCAGGTATGCGTTACCACGCACCGATGGTGCGCAAAATGATTGGCGAATTGGCAATCGCAAAAACAATGCCGAAAACACAATTTCTTCTCAGAAAAAACTCACTTTTAGTTAATTGTTTAACTGGGAACTCTAAGCGAGAAAAAACTGATAATTTAAATCAAGCGAATAGCGAGAAAACTTCCAAAATAGCGGATATGAACTCCGAGTCGGTGTCTCTCGTTGTGTTTTCTGCTGAGACTAACAATATTCGATACCGCGAAACATCTCCGCAGTGATGTTTTCTTTCGGCGCAGGAGATGTGCGGTAATCGAAAGTTAATAATGTAGCTCAACATTTACAATTACATTCTACCAAATTTTCCACTGTTGCGTAATCCACTGCAACAGCCGAACGTACGAATGAATAGGGTGACCATAGCGTATTTTAAGAAAACGTCACAAGTTTTTATGGCTGTTTTAAATCAATAATTCCGAAGAAACCGTAAAGCCTACAAGGTTACTACCAAAGGCACAAATCTAGGAAACTGCATGGATAATGTTTTGTAGAACAACTAAATTATCAGTAATGAAAATTTTCAACTTAAAAACACTAACATGAATGAAATTTCACCAGTTGTTTTGGTACTTCCAACATACTTTTCAATTTTAATGTACGATAATTAACTTTAATCGAGTTCTTTACTAAAGAGTATTGATAGCTTTCTCGTGAGTTAGTGGTGATTCTTCATCCACAACAATTCTTTTTTCAAAATTTGTATAAAATTTCCAACAACTTACCTTTTGACATCCAGAAGATCGGGCGTACTGTTTTGGAGCTGTAAATCTTAATTACAGAAGATCAATTCTGTACAGAGCTGAAAAAAGGGCATATCTGCTTTGATTGAATATCTTCATCGACATTCTCTATCGTTAATAACTCTGCTGCAAAAATATTCCCTGCTGTATATGACGATTTGAACGATAAATACCTCCTTTATCAAGTTATGTGGCAAAAATAGCACGAAAACTCTACTATGAAAACTCAGCACTCAGTAATATTTCTGTGTACCTGTGATAATTTTTGGTTGCTGAAAATTGCCACCCCATTCTTTAGCGTCCTTTTCATATTCTTCTTGTGACATACATTATATTGATTTACCCAATCTTATATTTTTTCGTACTTGGTATTAGAAATACTCAGAGGGAGAGATGGGCGGAGAGAATGTTTTGAGCTAAATGAACTGTCAAAATCTGAGCCAATCGAACATTCCCATTATATTTTTTTTATTCTTACTAGAATTAATTTGAGAGTATTGCAATCGAACAGAAATTCAATAACCTAAAGGTGATGGTATGTTTTGTGTGCTTCTCAAATTCAACAAATTTTTGGAATCAAAAACAATATTCTAACTCTATTGATTAATTGATCATCGCCGGTTAATAAACGGCACCAAGAAATGTGCCAAATATTGCGATGCAATCAATTATTATTTTGCACCTAAATCGAATCAAAAATACAAGTCATTTGAAATGCTAGCTTCTAGCAAGGGTTGCAAGATAATTTAGGAACAAATCCGTGCTGCCGAATTGTATTTTGTTTTCTCCGCCTATCTCTCCCTCTGAGTATTTCTACTTGGTATTGTAGCTTTCTGAGACCTGTTCACAATAAAGCATACACAAACTTTTCCCTACACTGGTGCGCGTTGTTCTGCTGTTAGTATGTGTGAATCCATCAAACCCATACACCAGCGTGGAAAATTCGTATCGGGATTTTCATTCATTGAGAAAACTTCAGCTGTGTGCTTTTCCTCCATCAACGAATAACCACACAGCTATAAAATAACTTGGCTCGTATGTACATCATACCTACTACAGCAAAACCCATAACCCCGAACCGAGTCGAATTGAGTCCGTGCTACGGAAAGGCAGAAAAGTTCCATCAGCTCCCTTTCGATTCCTCAATTAGGCCTAAGGATTATAAAGTGGAAAAAATGGATTTCGGGATTTCCCTACTTTATTTTCCTAGTGACAAACAAATAATCCGACAGTTGTGATCTCTCTACGGTATGAAAATTGCAATGCTCAGGAGCCTTATTTTGTATAGAGCTTTTGTCGCAGAGGTGAAAATTACCACTGGATGCTTTCCAAAACATAGAAGAAAATTATTCCTACAAGAATTTGACCATAAAGTCAGTAATTTAAGTGATTTATGCTAAACTGGGCAGTTTGTGGCTACGAAAAAGAATTCAGGGCGGAAAAAACGCAAGAAAACGTGTGAAAAATAGTGTATGAGAAAGCAAAAAAGTACACCACCATATTTTTCTTCATCTATCAGGGAGGAGTAGAGCGAACGAGAGAAGAAGAAGCAGTAGCTGGGGGAACAAATCGGGCTGAGGGAAAACTCCAGAGTATCGGGGGCGAAATCAGATATTTTACTTCGATTTTTCCATCATCGTTAGCATTGCTGCTGCTGCTGCTGCTTCCATACTGCCATACCACTATCACTAGGGGGAAGAAAGGAAAAGTTTTGTCTTCTTTTTTCTCTCCGATAACGGGCAGACAGATAGATAAATCCAACGCATAACAGGCGCATAGAAGAAGATTTGGAAAAAGACGAAAAAAGGATTATCAGTAATGCTTTGGTGAAAATTTCTCTCGCAGTGATGAAATTAGGTTTATGAGTTAAGTTTCAAGTGGAAGATACAGCAAAAATTGTAAGAGCGCGAAGGAAAAAATAAAATATTTATGGTGCAACAGAGTGTCTCAATGAAAAATCATCCAAAATTAAATATTCTTTTATCACAGGAAATTCACCGAAATCAATTAAACTTCAATTGAAATTCACCCCGAGTAATTAAATTAAATAAAGTGTAAATATGTCAAAGCTTTGGAGCAAAGACTGCAGACGAGCCGATTAAAGTGCCACAGCCGGAGTACAATAAAACTCCCATAAAGTATATCTTCCGAGAGATATGGTGCTTTCCCTGTTAGTCCTGCCAATTTCAGTATACCTTAGTTAGAGAAACGTGCGTGCAGCCCCCATAACAAAGCCAGAAGACACACTCCGCGTAGGAGGAGCATCTAAGGAAGAAAGTATATATGGTGCAAGGCGTTGACGAGTCTCCCGGAGGCTTGGGGTGCTAAGAAACATCGCTAATTTGGATACTTTCTAATGGGAACGTTTACGTCGGCATCGACGGCTACTACCTTCCCTACACCACGATCTAAAATCAGCGGCACGAGTCATGAAGGTAAGCACATACAGACAAGTGTGGCGGAGTGCACTTTTATGACCTAATTTTTTTTTTTTGCTGTGATCGTCTGTCATCGTGTATCCTCATTGAGTGGGCATCACTACATATAATGATACTAATTTTTAAGGACAAACAAATCATCCAATACGGTTGTGATAAATATAACAGAAGTTTTTCTTTTCTTTGATAGTACTTTTGATTTCTAAATATAAAAAAAGATAATCTGATCTTCATTAAGGCATTTGTGACAGGCTTTCCATGAAATGATTGTTTCCGGTCAATTTATACTTTTCATCGATAAGAGACATCATTAAATTCTACGTAGCTGTAATTTCCATCGTGAGATTGACGTATCATTCTACCTCATACCTCATACCTACCAGGCGAAAATAGTTTCCGAAGATTTGTTCGCAAATGGTGATGTGCTCTTTTATGTTGATGGTCGTGATATGCTCGGTTGGTTCCGCTATTTGACAGCTCAATTGGCTCCCGGGATTCTATTCTATAGCGACTGTACCCTACTATACTAGTTTGACAGTTTTATATGAACATTTTAAAAGGTCTTATCTGCATTGATTGATTCTCTTCATCTTCTTTCTCTTTAGCTATTAAGTCAACTGTATACAAATTCTCTCTTATGTTTAACCTTCTGGAAAGTAGATTTAAAAAACCTTCTGCGTCACAAATTTGAGTGCTACTGGTTTCATTTTGTTTGTATCTAGCTCGCATAGGACCCAATTGAATTTTATCCCGATCGGACATTTGGTTCCGGAGATATAAACAAAAAAAAAATAAATTTTGCAGTTCAACAGTGCTTCTCGCTCACAGCTTGCAGAAAAAGCTGTCGCACGGCATGTATTGGTTTAAAACTGCAATTGACCCCTGCTACAGGATCCCTCGGGGGTATCCCGTGATTCCAAGAGCGGCCAATGTGGTCAATGATTCATTTGGAGTTTATGGAAAGCCTATTCTTGAAAAACCATGAAGAATGAGCTGTCGCACGGCATGTTTTGGTGTAAAAATGCAATTGTCCCCTGCTCCCCTGAAGAGGTTCCTCCGGGGGCATACTGGATGTTCCGAGAGTGTCCAATGTGGTCAATGATGCATTTAAAGTTCATCGAAAGTCTATTGATGAGAAACCATGAAGAAAGAGCTGTCGCACGGCATATTTGAGTGATTAAATGATCTGCCCGCATTCAGAACCTTCCACTAGAACCGATTCCAGGGAAACGGCCATATCTCGGTTGATTATAAGCCGATTTTAGTTCTTGGCATATGATTCGCTTTTAAAATGGTTCTTCTTTCGTTGTATTTACTAAAAATATATATATTTTAGAATCATATATAAAATTTCACCAAAAATTTAGCAAGTTAGACAAACCCGGAATATCTCCGGTATGCGGTGACCAGGATTATTTTCGTGGCTACACCGTAGAACAATATTAGTTTTCCAGTCAAATGCTCTTAAAAGCTTTAAAATCGGCTCATATTTAACGAAGTTACAATGCTCCAAAGTTGACCAAAAATTTGCCTATCCTAGTTATTTTGAGTAACCCCTGTATTTGGTCCCAAGCAGTCCACACTTCCACACATTTTCATGTTAGCATCAATAAATACCAAAAATCAAAAATATTAGCTTTTGTTAAAAATTTTAATTAGGAGAATTTACGTATTCTCGTCAATCTAAGCAGCGTCAGTGCTTCTATTAACATTTTCTCAGTGTTACCTTTGATGGGAAAATACAGTGAAATTAGCGTTTAAATTTTGGTTGCCGAAAACAGTCAATGGGTGCTGATGCCGACGTTTACCCTATTTTAAATTAATTTGAATTTTTATTCCTAACCATTGAATATTCAATGAAAATTATCTGTCACTTAAATTGTTTTCAATTCAATATATATCAGTACTACCCCAATACACGCTTATTGGTGTTAGTGAAATGTGGTGTTCGTATTTCATTGCAATGTTTATCTTTTTACACTAAAAAGCTGTTGGCTGTGACGTAAATTTCACTGTTCGCAGTATGGAACTTGAGTGCTAAGCAATGTTTACAATAGTTTTGCTTCTAACACCAGTATGTTGACTCGGACCTTATATAAACGTCATTGTTACTACCCTACTATAAAACCAGTAATTGACTTCTCACCGCATGATCTCGCTAATACAACCTTTCTTTCTGAATTTATAAAGAGACGAAATGTCAAACTTGGAACAATCGATTGTCTGTCAAAGTCATAGGAAAAGTATTTCCAATCGAGCAGAAGACCTGTCAAATGGATAAGATGTCGCCTCTTTATAAATTCAGGCTGTTTAGCGTAGCCGTGTAAAATCGATTTGTTTATTATTTTCAACCATGACATCAGCGGTCAAAGTGTTAAACTTGACAGCGGTTTGTTTTATATTTATTTTCAACTAGTAAAACGCAAGTATTTCTGAACCTGGTCGCTAATACTAACGGTGGCAGAAAAGTCTATAACCTAACATCAAACCGGAGGATGGTACATTAATATTATAACGAGCGTAAACAGCAAATATAGTCGTTATATTTATAGTCTGGCGGATAAAATTTCGATCTACCAAAAGCGGAACCAATTTAATATACTGTAGACCAACAATTGAAAAGGTACTATCAACTTATATAAACAAAATTTTGATTTTTTTTCCCTCGTGAACCAAACGCAAATTAACATCACCGGATGGGGGAAACTTTCTACAATCCGATGATGGTGTTAGTTTGCGTAGGCGAGACTTGAGTAACGAGAAAAGAGTTTCCGAAGTTTTGTTTAAAGAAGCTGATGTGCTCTTTTCTGTTGTTGGTCGTGATATGCTCGATTGATGCCGCTATTTGACCGCTTAATTGGTTCCAGAGATTCTATCCGCCAGACTATAAATATAGTGCCTATAGGATAGCACTGTTTTTGAAAAAAAAACGCTTTTGAAATCATTAATGTACGTTTTTACCTTTCTCTCATAGAATGGTAGGGTAGAGAACTACTTCGGCCTAACCACCCATTTTGGGCCTATCGAGCAGAAAACTTCAAATAAATCCATGATTAACAAGTTAATTATGCGTTTGGTACGATACTTTAGTTAATAAGCTACCGAACGAAGACAATGAGAACGCGTGATATGAAGGTTAGCACCCAAAATTCCCAAAAACAAAAGAAGCGCTCCGACTGAATCAATTTTCATCTTCATCCGATAGGCCGAAGTGAATTCATTGGCGTTTCAATGCGTTAGGCCGAGTTTAGAATCCGTAGGCCGAGTTTGGCGTCAAGAAGCAGTGTTACACTTTTGACAATATCTCATCGATTGGTTTCTCTTTATCAAATCTTACGGTACATACGGAAAGGTAAATAAATTTGGAATCCATCAGTAATAATAACATTCCGTTTGGTGCTAAATTCCGCTAGATTAAGAAACTTTTTTTTTTATCCAACTACTGCCCAGAGAGCTTTGAATTTGAGAATCGCTCACAATATTTTGATGTTATTTTGTGGGTGATTTACCACCAACTGACTGTAAAAAAATCTGGTACCAGGGTTGAAAATTCTCTGGGAAGAATCACCCGGGTGCGAGAGATATCATTCTCTGGGGTGAATCTCTACTTGTCTCCTAGGAGATTTATCCTGGCACCACTGGAGATTGTTAGACACAGCATGAGAGAGTGAGAGAGTTGACTGTTCACTGTTTGTCTGTTTATATACTCACTTCCGTGAGAAAGGTGGCAGCGCAAAGGTGTTATTGTTTCTCCAAAGATTCCGGGAGAGCTTTACGTGAGTGAGTGAATACATCAATGTATACAGCCTTCTCACAGGCATATTCAACGTGGGTATTGAAGTTTAGCCGATCATCGATCATCACTCCCAGGTATTTCAACACGCTTTGAGGTTATGGCGTGCCCCTGACGGTGATATCTGCCCGCTGTACCGCTTTACAGTTACTGGCCAATAGCACTTCCGTTTTGTGGTGGGCTATCTGCAGCTTCGCTCCTTGCATCCAGTTACCAATCAAGTCAATCGCCTCGGTCGCCAACACTTCCACCTCTTCCAGCGTTTCGCCTGTTACCGTCACGACGACGTCGTCCGCAAATCCAACGATCTCAACTCCTTTGGGCATCTTCAGCGTTAGCACGCCGTTGTACATCCCGTTCCAGAGCGTTGGACCAAAGATGGAGCTTTGTAGAACTCCTGCTGTGATCCTAATCAATCTCTGTCCCATGTCTGTCTGTCGACTAAACTGAAGCAAATTTCAATAATGATGCGCTGATGCAATTCCCGTATTCGCATTTCCAAAACGTGTACATTGTTATTTTACCAAATTTTAAAATAATTGACTACATACTGTACGTTAATAGAAAAAATAACCTTTAAAAAATGGTTTTATGCAACAAACTAACAACCAAAGTCTTCATCACGCACCGGGGTGATTCTCCCCGGTGAAGCAAACGAACTCTCTACGGTGCTCCCTAGTGATCACTCATACGCTCCGGCGTGTTGGACTGGTGGAGGTGCGAACGTCAGAAACTGTATTTGTTTGCGAAGTGGGAGAAGCGGTAGAAAGTGAAAACAAAATAAAAATCTCTCGGGTGAGTTTGCTTTTGTCATAGTGCGAGGTGTCTTTGCAACTGATCACCCTGCATACACTGGAGAGAATAGCATCCCTGTCTGGTACCTCTATATATGCAATTAGATAAACACATCCGAAGTCCATCCTTTTTTACATATTCTGCACAAAAGATACTTTCTGCCCCGCCGTATTCATAAAAAAACGGTGGGAAATCCTGTCAGGGGCGGGGCTTAGAAAGTATTTTTTGTGCAGAATATGTAAAGAAGGAGGGACGTCGGATGTTAACCCAAATGCACATACCGTGCATCATAGAGAAATAAGCTCTATCTACTGTTTCCAATTAGAGCAATTAATCAGGAATACTTGTGTGCTTACGAACCCGCGTTTCAACAAAATCCTATTTTGAGAACATTGTTCATTCTTTAGTA